CGTAGGCATGTAAGGGTTGAAGTTTAAATTGTAAAAGATAATCGTTAAACTCAAAGTGAAACAGCTCACTGCTGCTTCATACGTATTCACACTTCAGTGATTACTGAGCCAAATTCAAAGGTTACACATTCATTTATGAGTGCCTTAGCACCATTGGGACTAGGGAGCACACCTAAAAGCGATTCTGAGGCAAGCGATGGTAGACTTTAAAGTGTCGGATGTCACCTTCTTACATATTTCTCAATTTACAGTTTCGTTCCACGGTTTAGTGACATTTCTAATATTTTAGATTGCTAGTACCAGACCATTACGGTGATATAGCTTGATTTATCTGTCTTCCGTGTCCACGTATGAGGCTGTCATTCGTTCGAGGTGGATATTCGTGCAATATCTGATTACATGGCATGCGATTTTCGCAGAAGCCAACCATGGTCTTGCATTCGGCGCTTATTCCTCCGCCGCTCATAAATCCCAATATATCTACACTTAATCACCCAAAATAGCCTCTAATAAACAACACTTTAGGCCCGAGTGAAATTTTACTAATCTAGGGTACAGTTTATAATATTCCCGCTTAGTTTCTCATAAATAAGTTTCATGAAAATGCTTGGTTGTCCAAGGCAAAGGAGCAGGTACGGCGATAAAATAAAGGTCATGTTCTTTCGACTCTTTTGCCTCTGCTTCGACCAACCTGGCGATGAGTTCGGATTGCATCGAAAATGCATCCGTCTGTTGCAATTTTTTCTTAGTATTCGTATTCGATGATGATATTCTAAACCTCTGGCTACGACACCACGACTTTGTGAGTCCAACGAATTTGATACGTCATTCATTTGGACCTCGTGGAAGAAAATTGTCTATGGCAATCCGTGTTTTTCTTCAAAATCTTCAACCCTTGTTTTAATCGTCTTTTTTTACATCGAGTTGACTGTACGGGACTGATGACGGACACTTCGAATATTAAAATTTTTTAATATTTTTCTTCAAAGTCCACCCTGATGTGCGCAATCTTCGAATTCGCTGCCGAATTCAACGCCCTGAATTTAAGTGACATCGAAATTGGCCTTTACAGTGCAATCCTCCTTACCAAATCGAGTAAGTTCTTAGCACTCGCTGAGTATTACGGTGTTACATTGATCATGGTTACACCTCTCAACACTGATACATTTCAGTGTTGAGTAGGTTCAATGCTGTTGATGGGATCTTCAAGCTAGTGAGTGAAGCGTTATTTATGAATGCTAAAGTAGCAAGGATATAGGCATAAAATGAAATTAGTAGTTACTCTCTCAATAAAAGCGGTTCAGCAATTTTCCGAGATTGTGGCAATGGAACAGCCAATGCAATACAATCAGATTTTTAACCTAAGGATCCGTTCCAATGTGTTACCCTCTTCAGTATCTCCAGTGTCACCGATGTCGAACGTCATGAAAGCGAAAGTCAAAACCTTAGGTGATATCTGCTGGCAACTGCTACTTTGCCTTACCAGAAACGGTGGGAACAAGCTCATATCGGGCTGATGTTACTGATGTCATTTGAATTTTAGATCGAAACGGATTGTCCGACACGGCTAAGGTTGCAGCGATACATGAACGTTTTCTGGCCGCGCTGAGCTATCAGTTGGAGGAAAAACACGGATCTGTTTCTGACATCATGAATGGGCTTAAAGTAGCAACAGGTCGACTTGCACAAATATCGGAGTCGCTGCATTTTGTAATGAGTTGGTTCCGAAGCCTCTGGTACCGCACCCACCTACCGCCACTGTACTCCGAGATTTTTGACATTGCACAGGGTGACAGCTCTGCACGGGTGCCTCAAGCTCAACCGTATATGCCCATTGACTTTCAGTCACTTACGTGTGCTTCTGCACAAGCTCCCGTAGGCTACAATACCGGGACAACGAGCTACATGGCAGCCAAGGCACCGCAGACACTATTTCATTACCACCAATATCAGAACTTCCCAGCATCTCAAGATTATTTTGCAATGTACAACGCTCAGGGTAACACCTATCCAAACATGACTGACTACACCGATGAGTCAAACCAGCAGCAGTTTATTTATACATCAGGCCATGAACGATGGCACAGCAGTGCTTTCGAGCCCTATTCAACTGATATGCAATCGACAGTAAGAACATATAGTCATGAAACTCAAAGAGTCGACTCGGATGTAGTTGGAGATCACTCGAGGGATGAAAACGCCTCCACTAGTACATACACAGAAAGTCATGTGCGTTCCAGAAGTCATAGTTCTACTACGTCACCTGGGTTTGTATCCAACGACATAGGACAGAGCAGCAGCAGTAGGCCTCCTCTGCCTCTCCCTCCTCCTCCCCCTC